TGGATCCTTGGATAAGTAGTTATGGACCCGCACTTGCTTGCTGGGAATTCAGCTTTAACTGGAAGGGTGGAAGGGTGTAGTTCAGGGTTGTTGAACTCCTTTGTTATGAGGGCTGGATCTGACATAAATGAGACCTTGTTGGGCCGGGCCATTGGTGTCATAAAATGTAATGCCAGGTAGCAGAGATATAAACTTTATAAAGGACACAAACACAAAGGGGTTTTTTTTAACTTAAGACTCCCCACTCTTGCAATATTTAACAGTGTCTGATAACTGACGCCCCTCGCTCTGAATTACTGCATCAAAATGTCTGTGCTGTTGCAATCCTGAGTATGCTGCTCAGGTGTGTATCTGTAAGCTACAAACCTACAATGACGCAGCAGCAGCAGAACTGGAAGAAGCAGAAGACAGCCAGTTTCACTGTGGGCCCGACAGAAGCCCTCTGGGGGGCCTGATCTGGCCCCTGGGCTGCATGTTTGACACCCACAGTATAGTTGGTATTTAATAGATGATAGCCCAGGCTAGAGCTTGATCTTGTCAGATCTCAGAAGCTAAGCAGCATCGGCCCTGGCAAGTATTCGGATGGGAGACCTCCAAGGAATACCAGGATTGTGGCGTGAAGGCACACAATGGCAAACCACCTCTGAATGTCTCTTGCCTTGAAAACCCTATGGGTGTCACCATAAGTCAGGTGTAACTTAAGGGCAAAATGAACAAAAAAAGCTTGCTCCCATTTTTGCAGCTTCTTGTTTCCAGTGCTTTCATCTCCCCACTGCCTGATGTCCTCCACTGGGGACTAGTTTAGAACTGTACTATAGACTTGCATCTTATTTTCCTTATGCACTTGCTCGCGTACGTATTCCATATAATTCTGCCGTAGCTACACTTATCTTTCTGGTGTATATCCATGCCTTTTACCATTCGTTTTGGTCATCATGCAGTTTGCTTTTGTACAATAGTGCCTTCCAACTAAGCGAATGATGCGTGTCGGTAAAATTCTGGACTCTGCATCTTCCCGCTAGCAGCTACGGACCCACGAGGGTGAAATGAACCCACTGTAGCAGAGGTTTAAGGAAACCTAATTAACAGCATCCACTAAAAGACTAAAAGCTGAAGTTAGGGGGAAAATCCTGCTGAGGTAGTTATTTTTGTTTTTAAGTTATGGTGCAATTGGACTCCTTAAACAAGACATTGGAGGGAAAGTCAAAATGCCTTCAAAATTCACCCCTCGGGTGCAGAGGGTTTTGTTTTTTTTAGACATCTGGAGGGGTGGCTGGCAAACAAGGGGCTTAGAAGAAACTTTTTGTTTTCAAGTTGTATAAAAGGGCTGTCACCTTCTCAGGAAAAGAAACAAGCATAGTTTTGTTTTGGGACACCAACTTTTTTTTTTTACAAGCATTGACAAGTTTCAAAGGTATAAAAGGCATAAACTGTTTTCTCGCAGGACAAGAATCACGTGCTGACTTTTCAAAATATTGCTTTCTTTGCAGGAAAAAAATAATGGAAAATAAAGAGAAACTGAGGAAGCCCACTCCTCCCCGAGAACAGATGGGCTACGTACAATCGGACCATGTAATAATTAGGGATGACAGCATCCCATTTGCCGCAGAAGCAGGAATACACACAACATAAGGCTGAACCTAGTGATCATCCATTAGCACTTTCTGCAGATGGCAGATCGTTCCCTTTCTCCCCTCCCCCAGCAGGCCCTTCGAAGCCTGGGAAAGTTGATTCTTGGAGTCACAGGATCCCCACAGATGTAAGTTGGGGAGGGGGCTACTCTGAGGAGGGGCAAAGGCCAAAATTAGTCCACGCGGGTCCTGAAGCTCTGGGAATCAACCTTGCTGGGGCCAGAAAGGACTGCATCAACAGCAGGGAGAACAGGCAACCTTTCCAGTAAGACACAGGGAAGAGAAAACAAACTTGACCCAATACCTGGAATCAAGAACCGCAAGGGTAAGAAAGAAGCCTGATAAAGGGCCGGGAGGAGGAGGAGATTGGATTTATACCTCACCCTTCACTACGTCAGATCTCAGAAGCTAAGCAGCATTGGCCCTGGCAAGTATTTGGATGGGAGACCTCCAAGGAATACGAGGATTGTGGCGTGAAGGCACACAATGGCAAACCACCTCTGAATGTCTCTTGCCTTGAAAACCCTATGGGTGTCACCATAAGTCAGGTGTAACTTAAGGGCAAAATGAACAAAAAAAGCTTGCTCCCATTTTTGCAGCTTCTTGTTTCCAGTGCTTTCAAGTTCATCTCCCCACTGCCTGATGTCCTCCACTGGGGACTAGTTTAGAACTGTACTATAGACTTGCATCTTATTTTCCTTATGCACTTGCTCGCGTACGTATTCCATATAATTCTGCCGTAGCTACACTTATCTTTCTGGTGTATATCCATGCCTTTTACCATTCGTTTTGGTCATCATGCAGTTTGCTTTTGTACAATAGTGCCTTCCAACTAAGCGAATGATGCGTGTCGGTAAAATTCTGGACTCTGCATCTTCCCGCTAGCAGCTACGGACCCACGAGGGTGAAATGAACCCACTGTAGCAGAGGTTTAAGGAAACCTAATTAACAGCACCCACTGAAAGACTAAAAGCTGAAGTTAGGGGGGAAATCCTGCTGAGGTAGTTATTTTGTTTTTAAGTTATGGCGTAATTGGACTCCTTAAACAAGACATTGGAGGGAAAGTCAAAATGCCTTCAAAATTCACCCCTCGGGTGCAGAGGGTTTTGTTTTTTTTAGACATCTGGAGGGGTGGCTGGCAAACAAGGGGCTTAGAAGAAACTTTTTGTTTTCAAGTTGTATAAAAGGGCTGTCACCTTCTCAGGAAAAGAAACAAGCATAGTATTGTTTTTTTTTTTTACAAGCATTGACAAGTTTCAAAGGTATAAAAGGCATAAACTGTTTTCTCGCAGGACAAGAATCACGTGCTGACTTTTCAAAATATTGCTTTCTTTGCAGGAAAAAAATAATGGAAAATAAAGAGAAACTGAGGAAGCCCACTCCTCCCCGAGAACAGATGGGCTACGTACAATCGGACCATGTAATAATTAGGGATGACAGCATCCCATTTGCCGCAGAAGCAGGAATACACACAACATAAGGCTGAACCTAGTGATCATCCATTAGCACTTTCTGCAGATGGCAGATCGTTCCCTTTCTCCCCTCCCCCAGCAGGCCCTTCGAAGCCTGGGAAAGTTGATTCTTGGAGTCACAGGATCCCCACAGATGTAAGTTGGGGAGGGGGCTACTCTGAGGAGGGGCAAAGGCCAAAATTAGTCCACGCGGGTCCTGAAGCTCTGGGAATCAACCTTGCTGGGGCCAGAAAGGAGGGAGAACAGGCAACCTTTCTAGAAGGGAAAACAAACTTGACCCAGTACCTGGAATCAAGAACCACAAGGGTAAGAAAGAAGCCTGATAAAGGGCCGGGAGGAGGAGGATTGGATTTATACCCCCACCCTTCACTACCCGAAGGTCTCAGAGCGGCTTACAAACTCCTTTTCCTTCCCCTCCCCACAACAGACACCCTGTGAGGCGGGTGGGGCTGAGAGAGCTCTTTCCAGAACTGTCCTTGAGAGAACAGCTGTGACCAGAACTATGACTTGCCCAAGGTCATCCAGCACCTGCAAGTGGAGGAGTGGGGAATCAAACCCGGTTCTCCCAGATTAGAGTCCGCGCACTGAACCACTACACCAAACCTAATTTAAATTTATTATATACAAAAATACATGTATTTATTAGAAAGACAGTTAAAAACATACAGGGGCCCAATGAAAGCCTCGTTACAAAGCAAAAGTGACCTAAACACGAGGGCCAATACCAGTGACCTGACACGTTTCCCCCCCCTTTGGGGGCCTTCTTCAGAGGTCAAATGGTTTGAGATACAGACAGACACGTGTTACAACGTTACATATTACAATGAAATAACCAATACGTTCACACTGAACCAAGAAAGGAAAGTTCAGCAGCAAGATTAATAGACACAAGTCAAGGATGTTTATGAGGCCTCTGAAGATGAGAGTCATGTGGAGAGTCATGGGGAGGGGGGTCAACAGTGGGAGGGCTTCTAATGTCCTGGCCCCACTGGTGGACCTCCTGGATGGTATTTCTGGCCACTGTGTGACACAGAGTGTTGGACTGGATGGGCCTTTGGCCTGATCCAACATTGGCGTCTCTTATGTTCTAATGTTGTCTGGTGCCAAATGCACAGCTGCTGAATTAGAACATCTTCCAATTCTGGTCCAGAAAATACCTATGTGACTATCTTAAACAGAGCTGGAGTGTCCTCAACAAATAGCCGTCAACACAGGGATACCTGAGCCCAACAACACTGCTTTTCTAAAGCACATCATTATTTCTTATTTCATAAAAGAGCCTTTAAAAAACACTCCCAACATGAGAATGAGCTAGTTCTGTCAGGCTGAGGGCAGCTAGTGATGCTTTAAACTGCACGCAGCAAGGTTAACATAGCAGTTAAAAAGGTAAAGGTAAAGGTTCCCTTGCTCGAAAGCCAGTCGAATCCGACTCTAGGGTTGCGGTGCTCCTCTCCGTTTCAAAGCCGAAGAGCCAGCGCTGTCCGAAGACGTTTCCGTGGTCATGTGGCCGGCATGACTGAACACCAAGGCGCACGGAACGCTGTTACCTTCCCACTGAAGTGGTACCTATTTATCTCCTTGCAATTTCTTGCTTTCGAACTGCTAGGTTGGCAGGAGCTGGAACTAGAGACGGGAGCTCACTCCGTCTTGCGGCACCCGGGTCTCGAACATAGCAATTACTTGCCTTTAAACAAACTTCTCCTGAAGCTCAACAGCTGAGACAAGCAAGGCTCTTTTCCCCCCAGGGATGTCATAATCCACCCAGGACAATCCCACCAATACTCAAGCTATTTTGGGAGTGAGCTGTTCAAAAAGACTAGACTTAATTCACCGTGTCGATTCAGGCATTCCTACCCGCTGCACTACAAATCTGTGCCAGGAGAACCTCAGATCTTACCTTTTATGACTGAAACAATGCTTCGTGAATCCGCGTCTAACTTTTTTACCAGAGTTTTTGGGTCGATCTTCACCCCAGCAAAGATGTTGGAGGGCAAAAATGTCTGGACCTGCCACAACAAAAACAAGTTTTTATTCATCCCTTCGTTATAGGTGCCGTCTTGGTTCTAGATATGCAAATGTCACGGGTATTTTTTTCGCTCCCCCTTCGGAAAAAGAAATTTAGCCAGAAGAACAAAAAGTTATAAAGAAATTGTGCTTATTAAGTGCTTGCAATTGATCCTGCACTAATCACTAAACGAAGAAAGGCCTGGGACCCCACCAGAACTGACACTTAAAAAAATTCAGAGAACTAATTTGCTCACAAAGATCCAGTTGCTATCAATGCTCCCTCTAAGCTGTGGAGTCTCGCAAGCAAAAATTCTACTTTGTGAGCTGCTGGCATTAAAGTTGTGAGCCAGCGATTTGGCTACTGCATAAACTAGTTTGCACTGGAGCCATCCTTCCTGAGTTAAGACAAAAATGCATGAGCCGGAGGCTAAAAAACTGTGAGCTAGCTCACACTAACTCAGCTTAGGGGGGACACTGGTGGTTATAACTGGAATGTATGTGTGTCAGGTTCAGACAAACAACTTAATGGAACTGGATAAAAGAGAGACCGCATGATGTGGAGGTTACAGCGTCAGACCGGGATTTGGGAGACACAGGATCAAACCCCCATTCTGCCTTGGAAGCTCACTGGGTGATCTTCGGCCAATAACACACTCTCAGCCTAGTAACAGAGTTGTTGTTGTGAGGATAAAACGAAGGAAAGGGAAATGAGGTAAGTTGCTTTCAGTCCCCATTTAGGAGAAAGGCAAAGTGAAGTAATCAAGGAAGCACTCCAATCTCGAGGGATTTATATGACGCTGAGAAAGCAAAGAACTTCATCATGAAATTATGAGGGATGCTACAAAACTATGGTACAAGGTACAACTTGTAGAGATGGATGGACTCAATAAACTGGTTTTAAATTTGCGGTAACCTTCTGGTATTGTATTATATTTGTGTTTTGTAAGCCGCCCTGAGCCCGCGTGCGGGGAGGACGGGGTATAAATGAAATAAAATAAATAAATAAATAAAAGGGACCATGGCCTTCAGTGTGCAAAACCTCAACAAGGGTGTTTTGGAGATCATTAATTCAAACGGTCGTCCTACGTCAGAAGCAACTTGATTGCACATGACGCACATACCTCGTACATTCTTTGCAGACCTAACAATATAACCCAAAACACATTCACTCCAGAATGCCTTTAAAGGAATTCAGTCACGCCGGAGATTTTAACACTGCTGTGCTTTTGTCTTTTTTTATTGTGATTATATTTTATGTTCTTATTCGAGCGTGACTATGTGTTTATTTTGAACATGAAGGGAGCATGTAAACTCACTAAATCAAAGCTGTTTTTTCCCATTCAGCTCCCTTGTTTGTGTACAGTGAAATTCAAAAAAAGCGGCACTAGCATTTGGGGAATGCAGTGGGGAAGAGCAGCACTGCACGTCTGATGAATAAGGGCACAGACAATGGACCATTAGAGAACAAATTTTGTAGTAAACAGAAGAAAGTGGATTGTTTGGACAGAACAGTCTCACGCAGTCAGAAGAGGACTACCAGCATATTCAGATACCAACTTAAACTTTCTAACATTTTAAATACTGAACTCCGTAATAATATACAGTCAAATTATTATAGCTTATTAACTGGCCAAAATATTCACCTTTAAGCAATAAACATAGCCTTGGAGATGCTGCAGATGTCTACAGTACACATCAGACTTGCCAGATCTAATTCTGAACCTGACCCCAGAATGCAGATTTTAAAATCTACACAATGAGACCATGTTCAGATAAGGGGGATTTTTCTACAAATCTTCCCCTCCCTACAGGTCTTGAGCAGTCTTTGCCAGACCAGCTGGTAATAAGAGGAAGAGAGAGAATTCAAGCCAGAGAGAGCAAGGGCATGCCATAGAAAAGAGGATGCCCTACTACAGGCTGCCTGAGTTTTCACAGCCTGAACAAGAAATTTATCTGAAAGAATAATGTTTTCTAATCTGGAATCTACTAACAGTTTAGTAACTAAAATATCTGGAGGACAATTGTTCCACTGTCGCATAAGGTGTTTAATCTGTTTCGTTCTAGCCTCATTATACCATGGAGTATAAGGTGGTTTCGTTCTAGCCTCATTATACCATGGACATACTCAAACAGAACATGGGTCATAGTTTCTATCTTGCCTAAATCACAACTGCAGTATCTATCTGAGAATGGTATCCCTAACATATGTCCTTCAGAAATGGCAAATGGTAACGCATCTTGCGAGCATAATTGCTCGTCTATACCTTGGAACTGTGAGGCTGAACAGATATTTTGGTGTTGCAAAGAGCGGTGGGATACCCATACAGAGAGAAGAAGAAACGTATCTAACTCATCAGAGGGTACTATCATGATCAATCTCCATAATCATCTGCTTGTCTTAGGAGCTAAAGGCCACCTAAAGCCAAAACTACATTCTTTGGAATCCCCCCAAAATTCAATTTTCCTGCTATACCCCGATTCCATGAAATGGAGAAGTTATCTGATTTCATATAGTATAAGCTCTTATCCTCTGAAGACATTATTTTGAGTTTCAGATTTAATCCAGTCCCTGGCTTCGATAGAATGCTGACCGAGTCCCAATCTAAGGGTGGTACCAGCCACAAATTTCGGAATCCCACAGATCCGGTGCAGAAATTGTATTAATGGCCGATCTATAGTTTCATTTATCTTATGGACCCAGGCCGCTGTACCATATAGTAACTGAGACAGTATTTTAGTACTGAAAGCTGTAATTGCTGAAGCAAGATACTGTCCACCTTTCCTATAGAAAAAATGCTTCATTGCTGCACTAGAGCAAGCTGCTGATGCCATCACAGCCTTGCACTGGGGTTTCCAAGTCAGATGCATTTCAAATGATACCCCTAGATATTTAAAGGACATGACTTGTTCTAATTCACTGCCATCTAACATCCATTTATAACTTAAAACTCTTCTCTTTCTTATAAAAAACAGTATCTTTGACTTTACAAAGTTGATTGTTGGTCCTTGTTCTCGACAGTAGTTAGAGAAGGATCATATCAGTCTTTGTAGCCCAGAAGGAGATTGTGATACCAAAACTGCATCATCAGCGTATAATAAAATAGATATTTCTAGAGCCCCATGCTTTGGCAGGTGGAATTGGTCTTCTTTAACAGTGGGTGGTAAATAATTCAGGAACAGGTTAAAGAGTAGTAGAGCCATCGGGCATCCTTGCTTAACTCCAGATTTCAAGATAAATTTTCTTGTTAATATTTCCTCTGGCCCACATCTGACCTGGGCTGTTAACATACAGAGACTGTATCAGTCACAGTAATCATGGTTTCCCTTAGTTTTTGCCATAGACGTGCCTTGGGGACTGAATCAAACGCAGATTTCAAATCCATGAAGGCCACACATAACTTTCCCCTAGCATAGTGAGTATATTTTTCTGCTAAGTGGCTTAGAATAACACAGTGAGGCTCCCTGTCTGAATCTTGCTTGCTCTGTTTCCAGAACTGATTGAGTTTATCCAGTCAATTAGCTTATAATACAGATAAAATGCACATAGCTTACTAATCACTGGTAACAGGCTAATTGGCTGGTAATTACTTGGATCTGTTCATTCACCTTTCTTAAATATAGGACAAATAAGAGCATGTTTTCAATGTTCTGGGATTTTACATATCAAGTTGATTCTGGTATTAGGTCTGTCCTTGGAGCTTTGACCGGTTTCAAACACCTTATCAAGATCGACACTTTTATGGAGGACACCGGTAGAAATATCTTAACCTTCAGGACTGCAATCTTGGAATACCAACCAGCTATATTACAAGATAACACACCTTGTGGTTCTATCAGAGAGTCATTCTGGATTGTTCAGTTCTATATCTGAGACTGTCCCTTAAGAACATAAGAGAAGCCATGTTGGATCATGTCAATGGGTCATCCAGTCCAACACTCTGCGTTACACAGTGGCCAAAAACCAGATGCCATCAGGAGGTCCACCGGTGGTGCCGGACTCTAGAAGCCCTCCAACTGTTGCCCCCCCCAAGTACCCTTGTGGGGGCCTCACAAGTGAATTTCTTGGCCAAAAAATGGCCCTCCGTTATTATAAAATTCAGAGTTCTTCTTCAACTTTTCTCTGCTATCTACCTTCTGAGGTTCAGTTTTAAGAGTTACTTTGTCAAAACAGGATTGTAGTTTTTTCACCTTCGTCTTCCATTCTTTTTATGCCCATTCATAATACTCACTAAGGTTCTGTAATTTTTGTAATCTGTTAACAGTGTTCGTAATACTCACCAAGGTTCTGTAATTTTTGTATGTTAACAGTGTTATTTTGCTCTATTTCGGGCAGTGCTCCAAAAGAAGTTAACAGTCTTGATTCCACTACATCTGTTTGCGCATTTCTCAAGGGATTAGTTTCACTTGCCTTAGACTGATCAAGAACAGCAGGAGGATCAACAAGAGATGCTGCTACTACATTAATATTTTCTTCTACAGCTTCCATAAGGGGTGCAGTAGGATTGATTAAATCCTCTTGCACCTTGCTGGAATTCGGCCTTTTGCCTTTAAGAGGCTGAATACCTAGAACAGGAGTGGCCAAACTGGTTTAACGTAAGAGCCACATAGAATAAACGTCAGATGTCTGAGAGCCGCATGACATGAACAAATATCACACATATGTTTTTACTAGAAAATATGCAAATTTGCTTTTTGTTAACATTAAAAACAAAAGGGGTAAAAATAGATATTGATAATGATATTTATTTCTCCAATGATATTTGTAGGCTGGGTGGGGGTTTTGAGAATGCATTCAAAGTTAAAGTTGCTTTCTTTCTCTGCTCTCCCCCCCACCCAGGAAGGGGAACGGGCTGGGGAAGGGAAGACCGATGGGGGGGGGCATGCCTCCACTTTGCTTCCCCAGCTGCTCTGCCAGGAGCCAAACAGTATGTGTGAAAAAGCCGCATGTGGCTCCTGAGCCACAGTTTGGCCACCCCTGATCTTGAAGTTTCTTTATAAG